TAGTATGTTTTCATTAATGAGAAGGATTGTTGGAAATGGGTTTTGGTGGAAGAAATTCGAAGTGTTAGCTTCGATGTCTCAGATGATACAAAAATCGAAGGCAAAAAGTGAGCTTCTTCTAAAATCAGGAGGAGGAAAACAATTGAGGTCATAAATTGATCGTTCTCTGAAATTAAAGAAGGTAGAAATCAACCGATTTTAGGAATCAAAGAAGACAGAAATCAACCGATTTTAGCAATCGGAGGAAGGAGAAATTGACCTACAAGATCAATTAGAACACTAGAGAGACTTAATGATTATGTGATCAATACTGATGATATTGTCACAACATTTGAACAAATGATTGAAGAAACGAAGGATGAGAATGATCTTGTACACCTAGCACTATATGTTGATGTCGAGCCGGAACTGGTTTGCTTTGAAGAAGCGATCGAGGATCCCAAGTGGATCAAAGCCAGAAAAGAGGAGTTGTTGGCAATCGAGAAGAATAAAACATGGGGATTAACTGATCTCCCAGGGACAATTAGAGTAAAATGGTCTACAGACGAAGTTAAAAACTGGACGAAACAATTGCAAGATATAAAGCCAGACTTGTGGCAGAAGATTTTCTATAGAGAGAAGGATTAAATTACAAAGAAGTGTATGCACCTGTTGCCAGGATGAAGACGATAAGAATAGTAGTAGCTCTCATTAGCTATAAAGGGTGGCAACTACATCAAATAGATGTAAAATATTATTTTTAAATGATGAACTAGAAGAATAAGTTTATGTTTCACAACCACTTGGGTTTATGACCACTAGAGAAGAACAAAATGTTCTCAAATTGAAGAAAACATTGTATGGTCTAAAATAGACTCCAAGAGCTTGAAACACTAAAATTGATGATTGTCTTTAACAACAATGTTTTTTGAAGTGTGAGATCGAGTATGTGATTTACTCGAAGATCGAATGTGATGATGTGTTGATTGTTTGTTTATATGTTGATGATTTATTGATTACAGGTAGTAAAATTACTTTGATCGATACTTTTAAAAAGAGGATGCAAGATGAGTTGAGATAACAGATCTAGGGAAGCTGTCATATTTTTTGGGAATGGAATTCATCAAAGCCAAAAAATGTGTTTTGAATCACCAAAGTAAATATGCTAAAGAAGTGCTCAAGAAGTTTAGTATGAGTGAGTGTAATGCGGAGATTACTCCAATTGAGACGAATTTGAAGCTCGATAAAGATAAAGGTGGGAAGCCTGTAAATGCTATAGTTTATAAATAGATGGTTGGGTGCTTAAGATACTTGTGTTGTATTTGACTGAATATCTGCTTTGGTGTTGAGTTGCCAAGTAGATTTATAAAGAAACTCAAAGCATCTCATCTTGTAGCAACTAAGAGTGTTTTGAGGTATATTAAAGGGACGATTGATTTTGGTATTCTATTACCAAATGTTACACATCATAATGAAGAGAGTTGGTTGGATTTTCTGATTTTGATTGGGATGGAGATAAAGTTGGTTTCAAAAGCACATCAGGTTATGTATTCCTATTGAGAAAATCATCAATTTTATTGTGCTCAAAGTTACAAACTGTTATGGCACTTTCCTCTTGTGAACCTGAATACATGGTTACTGCTTATACAATTTATCAAGCACTGTGGAACAAGAGTTTGGTGAATCGAGTTCTTAGAAGATCAAAGAAGATTATGACACTAAAGATTGACAATAAGTCAACCATAAATTTAATGAAAAATCCTATTTATCATGGAAGAAGTAAACATATTGGATTCAGATTTCATTTCACATAGATGAAGTAAGAAAGAAGAAGTTGAGACTTGAACACTGTGATACAAAGGAGCAGCTGACAAACATTATAATGAAACCTTTAGATAATAGAAGGTTCAAAGAATTGAGAAAGAAATTGAATTTTAAATCGATTGTTGAATTAAGGAGTTGTTTTAGATGATAATTTATTAATAATGTTGTAATGATTGTTTCAGTTAGGTTAATTAGCCTAACAAATTTCAGTGACTGCTTTAAATACTATATCTCTATAGTATTTCACTAATGTGATTGTATAATTTAGTTTTTACATTGATTACAATTCAATTTATATTTAGTGTACCTCTTTCTCTTTATACTCTCTCTATATTTATTTTTAGATTCTTTTCCACAAACAATTTGAACAAAAATGTTGCTTGAATTCCTATAATGATATTTTATATTCTATTTAACTTAACTTTTTAAAGAAATCTATTTGTAAATCTTTTGTCATATGAAATAATTCTTAATTAGTTAGATGAGAACTAAATATAAATAAATTGAAGTAAACTAATATAAAAATAAATGTTTTTATCGTGTGCACAATATATATTTTCTATTAATTATTTTAAAAAAGTTTTTTTAAGATTGTTTTCATCGTCATATGTTATATGTAAGACACATATGTCGTGGATATCGTCTAGTCATTGAAAAACTTGCGTATAAATTTTAAGTTTTATGTAAACTTTCCCCTTTAATCAAACTAACCATTTTTTTTAAATTAATGATAAAAATATAAGATTTTTCATATAATTATTACAAGTAAAATTCATATATACAAAGATGAATAGATATCACTATTTAATTGTGATAATTTTTTTATTATTATTTTAGAAAACCAAGGGAAAATGTGCATGCTTTGATAGGAAATCCCACTCAATTTGTGTAAGGAGTTACAACTCCTTTATTTAAGGAGCACCAACTAGGAGCACCAACTAGATGTAATACTTAGTAGTTATAGTTAATTTATAACATTTTACCACTTTATTCTAAAATATGTTAAAAGCTTCTAGAATTATTTAAAATGAATATTTTCTTAGGATAATTTTATTTAAAATATTCTACACATTGTTTGAGAATATTTTTTTGAAGAAAATTTAACTATAATTAAGTTATTCTTTTTTAACTACTTCAGATCTTCTTCTTGTAATTCTTCGTTCATATGTTTTTTCTATCTCTCTCGTGTCTTTCACTCCCTCTTTCTCCTTGCTTGTAAGGATTTTTTTAGGTGTTTCCTTCCTATTCATGATCTCATCAATTATAAAGATGCTGACACTTGTATTTTTTACTTTGACTGGTGAGTCCAAATTATTTATTTAATGTAAAACAAAATTAACTATGAATCTTTATTTTCATCTCCTAAAATTACTAAACACTTTGATGATTTTGATACATTAAACACTTCTCACTCAACTAGATTTTACATGACCAACTTTTAACTATGATTTGGTGAAGCTTCAATGGATGTATCATAACCATAAATTCTTATGCATTAGTAAATCCTCAAGTTTTTGTACAAATCGAAAATTTGTTAAAGGTAATCTTGTATTTTAACAAACGACTTTGATACATTAAATAACCTGGACCCAGACTAACAACCATAGTAAAAAAATATTAATCATAGTATCCATGTGCAAGAGGGTAAAATTGTGTTTTGAAACATACATCATGTAATGTAATGTAATAGTGAATTACCAAAACCAACAATTAAGAACTGAACCTCTATCAAGTTCACTTGAACATACTAAGAATATAAAGGAAGTGTTAGTTGTTATGCAAGACTTGATGATTAAGATTTTGCACATCAACGAATGTTCTAACTTAGAGCAACTCCAACAGGAGTTGTTTATGGCCTCAGTTGCTTATAAGCAACCGTGTTTATAAGAAAATTTCGTTGGAGTAATCCGACGTGACAACAATGATTTTGAAAAGTTAAGCATCGTATCGTGTACAAGCAACGTTCTTAAGAGTTACTTTTCTCAATTTTTTTTCAGTTTGTTATCACAGTTCTCACCAACAGAATTCAACAAATCAGAAAGCAATATTTACCTGAAGGTGGCTCGCTGGTGCCTCACAGAGGAGGCTCCACCTTGATATATATTATTTTTTAATTTTTATTTTTTTTAATGTAAATATATTATTTATTTTATTTTAATAATTAATTATATATTATATAATTTAAAAAAAATTGCTTAAATATGATTTGACACTGTGAGTCCCACAACCCATATGTTTTTACATGCTAGTGATAGGTGTCACATTTAGATATGTTAAAAATTTTTTGTACAGAGTCTCTAAATACACAAAATCATGATTATCCTATTTCCAATTATCTAACCAAGAAGAAACTAATATTTTTTTCTTCTAATTATTTTATCTTGTTAATAAATTGACTTCATATATTATGAGTTCAATAATAAGAAACTAATATATATATATATATATATATATATATATATATATATATATATATAGAGAGAGAGAGAGAGAGAGAGAGAGAGAGAGAGGAAACAAGAAAGAAGTAGAATGCATTAGGTGCACGTGTTACGGGTGCAAGTTGCGTAACCAAGATTGTACGATCTAAGATGAGTCAAGCCCCATGCATGTGTGTTAGTATCTAGATACCTCACTATAATACTTGTGTAGTAATAGTTGGGACTCCCACAGCACAAATCTCGAAGGCAAGGGTCAATGCTTAAATGCACTCTAAATTTGTGGGTCCAAATAACCTACCATGAATTCTCCCCTCCATTCCCATTCTCTCCCTTCACCACACTGTTGCGATACCTCAATTTCAAGGACACGGTTACACTCAGAAAGTGTGCATTTTTTATTCCCCTCACTTGTTTATATGCAAAACGCTTAGCTGGTTCTGTTTGTACTTTGCCTTCAAAAAGATCAAGCACACTCAACTAATATATCTTTATGGTTTTCATTTTATAATCTCTCAATTCGAGCTTCCACTCACCTTCCAAGTGACCAAAATCCGTGTCATTTCACTCTTCTTTATTCACTCTCTCAAACCCAAGCCCCCCACTTCTTCACTCATTCTCTCATCGACCCTATCACTCTCAGTTTATATATAAACCATACTTCTAAACCTTTCTACACTGTCTAGACCCCGCCACCACACAACAAATCCCCTTTCAGAGGCTTGTTGAAATATAAAACGAAACCAACTTTCCCTTTCACTCATGGCTTCTTCTTCTTCTTCATCATCTCTGGTGATTTCCCCAAGAAAGCTTCGCTCAGATTTGTATTCCTACTCCTACCAAGAGGATTGTAGCACCCCATTGGTGATAAATGTTCTGGCTTCGCTGATTGAGAGGAGCATGGCCAGAACAGAGAGGATCGAGAAGAATGGTTCTTGTTCTTTGTCCAAGGCCATTAGCACAAACATCTTTTATTGCAGGGATATCCCAGACATGACAATCCAATCCTATCTAGAGAGAATTTTCAGGTACACTCGTGCAATACCCTCGGTGTATGTTGTGGCCTATGTCTACATCGACAGGTTTTGCCACAACAACCCAGGATTCAGAATCAATGCTAGGAATGTGCATAGGCTTCTCATTACAACAATCATGTTGGCTTCCAAGTATGTTGAAGACATGTAAGTTTTCCTGGCAAGCATTCAATTATACTTTGTCTATTTTAATTATGATTCAAACTACTCAAAAGTTTATTCATGTCAATCTTAATCGTTCACATTACTTTACAATAACTGAGGAAAGGGACATTTTTTTTTTATCTGTGTGACTCGTGTATCATCAATGTCTGAACTATCAAATTAGCTTGGATTGAAATTCGGCTGGTGGGTTTATTTATTTACTTTTTGTATGGCAGGAACTATAGAAATTCCTACTTTGGAAGAGTTGGTGGGTTAACAACTAACGAGCTGAACAAGTTGGAGCTGGAATTCCTTTTCTTGATGGATTTCAAATTGCATGTGAATGTGAGTGTTTTTGAGAGCTATTGCTGTCATTTAGAGAGGGAAGTGAGCATTGGAGGAGGCTACCACATTGAGAGGACCCTGAGATGTGCAGAAGAACTCAAAGCAAGGCATAGAGAAGAGAAGGGTTTCACACACATTGCTCGTGTAATGTTGTGATATTAGGGAGTTTTGGTTTGGTGTGGAAGGTTTCTTTGGCCTGCAAATAAAAGAAAGCCAGTTTATGTGTACAAATCGGTATAATATAAATCTAAATGTTTGTCGTGGTAAATGAGGTTTAGGATAACAAGAGAGGAAATCTAAATCTTGAGAAATGTACAAATTTGTTTGGTTTCTTCTCCATGTAAACCGTGAATTTTCATCCCCAATAATTTTTGTGGGTGGTTTGCTTCTATTGTGTCTGTATGTGCATGTTTTGATCCTTAATTGTATCACTTGTTTATGGTTCTCATTTCCACATTTGTTACCTAGATTTTGACATTTATTATGCTCATTTTCACAAGTATCAAATATTTATTTATAAAATAAAATAGTAGTATATCTAATTATGAAAATGACCATATGACCGCATATTGACAGAGGAAATAGTATAACCAATTTTTGATAACTTCTTTGGTTACTTCGATGTAGATCCGTTTATTTTATAATTGACTTTTAATTGATTTATATATAATTTATTAAAATAGTTAAGATGCATAATTGGGTTAAATCTCAGACGTAAATAGTATTTTAGTACAATGCAGCACTTTTTAAATTTCAGTGTTTGTGTTTGTGTTTTTTCTTTTCTTTTTTCAGTTTTAGCAGTCAAATAGCTATTTATTATTTCTTTGTCCTTATATTTGTTTAAAAAATTAAAAATAACATGATTATAATAAGATAATATTATTACATATTATTACATAAATATAAAGTCACCTTATTAATTTCACATCAATAAAATTATCATTGAAATAAAAAAATGTGCTAAAGAAAAAAATAAATTTTGTAAGACTCGAATAAATTATTAAGTTTGGAATATAATGTAATTCACAAATAATAATTTCCTCTCAAACATACACATTACCTAAGAAAAATACAATCCAATGACTCTCGGCAAGGAACTCAAGCACCACAACAATTATCAATTATTCAATTATTGATTTTAGGCATTTTAGATTTAAGTATTTTAGAAATCCTTTTTAAATGAAAGCCCATATTTCGAGTTTTAAAATAAAATCTATTTGACTTGATAAGTCAACTTGTTCAATCATATTTTTTGGTTATTATTAAAAATTACAGATTGAAAACTTTTTTTGGACTAACAAAAACTATAGTTAGAGAAGTTACATTATTAATTATATTTTCTTATCATTCATGCTTTTAGTTTTATATTAATTTTAAATTAAATTTACACATTGCATTAAAGCCTAAATATTTGTTTACGCATACACTTTTTTTAGAAATATATATATATATATATATATATATATATATATATATATATATAATATACATTTTTTGTATTTTATTTTCTCAATTTTGCATACTTATAATTTGTTTCTCATTTTAATTATTTTAAAGTCATGATGATGTAGCATTGAAATATTTTATTATTAAAGTTAAAGCTATTCATTGAAAATGTATTTAATAATTTTTGTCTAGTACACTTGGTTAACCTGTAAACACAAGAGCATAATAATGAAAACAAAATGCTGATTAAATGAGTGTTCATTTTGTTAATATTTTTTTAATGATCCACATTTTGTTGTTCATAATTTTTTTTACAGTAAAAAATGGTAAAACATTCGATCAAGCATGATAAAAAGCAAAAAAGTTAAATAGAGCATATGTATAATCTTAATATATTTTTGTGTTGTCATAAAATTATTGCAATGTATAATTGCAAGATCTGAATGAATAATAAGTAATTTTCCTGAGATATATATCCAGTGACAAGAACAAAAGATATTAAGAAATTGATTACGCCAACCTTATTACTTTAATTTGGATTTAGAGAATCAACTGAATGATTACATGACATGATGCGAAGGAATTGTATGTTTGTTTAATTCAAATGGAAACCTTGAATCTCAAATATGTGTGGGATATTAATAATTCAGCATGTTTTTGAATTGGGGTAGAATGGACCCATTTCATATCTAAATCATGTTATGTCTATCTATTAATAAATAGTAAATTGCATTTTTTTCTTTTTTCTTTTACTGATTTGCTTTAAAATTAAATAATATAAGTTTAAATCAATATTTTTAAAACTGATTAGTCATAAAGCGATGAAAATATAAAATTGAAAGAAGTTTAATAAAATAACATTTTTATAATATAATAATATATAAGAAATTTATAAATAATAATATTTTTTAAATAACAAAAATGATCGCATAGTATAAAAGGCTATGTTATCCATAAAAATCATTGTATTAGTAACAAAAATAGAAAGTGAATAATTTAAAAACCAAAGTGATGCTGAAATAAAGGTTGCATGAATTTTATTTTAGTATGGGTTCTATCTATGATGCAATTATGTATAAATTGTAATCTCAATTTAAAAAAGCACCAAAACTTGATTTGGATATGATGTATTACCAACCAATCACAGCTTCCATCGGTGAAGCCATGCAGGTACACCCTGGAGCGCTCTTACTCCTTTCTTCTTTTTAATTTGTTATTATCAAACCTCAAATTTTCAAATAAATACTATTCAATTAAATATTTACAACTTTATATTAAATTAAAATCATTTTACTAAGCCTCATTGTCCCTTTTCATTTACCTCTTTATATATTTATATTCTTAAAAAAATTTCATCGCAGAACTTTAATTATTTGGTCAAAATACAAAACAAAAAGTAAAATTTGATATGTACCTTGTAGAAGTTATTAATTATTGATGATAATAATTATATTTCATAGAAAAAAAAAAACTGTCGGTAGCATGGTAGGGCTTGCCGTTGACATTAGTTGTCGGTGATGTAGCTATGGTGAAAGGAAATAAATAAATAAATAAAAGATTGGGTTCAGATGCCTCACAAGATGTTCAAAAGACCCAAACTTTAGGTCCTTGTTCTTCTTTCTTTCAAGACATTTTGAGTAGAGTGTGTTATTTTAACCATTCATTTTATTTTGTCAAATTTTCATATGAATATCAATCATATGTTTGGAATAATAATTGAATTCTTTCCTTCGAATTTTATTGGAGTGAGCGTAAATTATGTTTTTTAAATTGTAAAGATCACATAATAATTTTGTCCGTAGAATCAATGAAGTGAAATTATGTTTTAAACGATTATTTTTTAGTGATTAATTTACTTTTAATAGAAAAGATGAAATGTTTTATGAGAAAAATTGTTATTTAGGTAAAAGAAATTAAGATTTTAAAAACTTATGATAGTAATTTGATTAAAAAATTAAATAATTTTTTATTAAAAAATTAAAAAATTTCTTGATATTATTTTATCTTAAATATGTTCTTTTTGATATTTGTTAATTGATATATATATATATATATATATATATATATATATATATATATATTCATCTGATATTGTCAATGTTGATATAAATTAATGGTATTTTTTAATTTATTAGAAGTCTCAAAAAAAAAAATTATAAGTTAATGTTTATTTTTATTGGTACAAAAGGAGTATAATTTATTTTATAAATTATCTTAAAATTACTTTTTTCTTTTTTTTAGTGTGGTGCTTCGTAGTTATTTTATCTTATTTTCTAGAGAAGATAACAATGTTTCCTCCTTAGATTAAAAGATGTGTATTATAATTTCTTCTATTACTAAAATGCATATTGTTGATTTTGTTTATCTTTTATTATTTTTTATTTTAATTGAGTTCTTATATTGTTATTCTTCATAATAGTGATATCAAAGTCACTTGGTTGTGATATTATTCTACTATGTTTTGTGGTTGTAGTTAATTTGATCTTCTACATCAAAGAATAATTATTTCTTTTACTGAATATAGACTGTAGTACTAGGATAATTCATGTCTAGTTAAGTGTGTCTACTAATGATCCACATTTTTTTTTCTTGAAAACTTATTTGATGTATTAGTTACAATTTACAACATGGTTCCAATAAGAAATACTATTCATAATGAAAGGTGCATAAGTCGATTAAAATCATAACAATAAAATATGAGTTAGAGAAGTTCAATGGAAATATTTTTTTGTTATGGAAACCGAAGATAAAGACAATCTTGAGAAAAGATAATTGTGTAGATGCAATTAAAGAAAAAGTCATGGATATCACATATCACAAGTATAATAAAACCAATAACAATACTATAATAAAATTGCACTAGTATTGATAAATGCAGTTTTGTCCAACATTATAGAGGAGGATAAGGAGATTTGGGAGTTCCTCATCAAATTATATGAGGTTAAGTCATTTATACAAAAATATTCTTGAAGAGATATATTCTTCAAAAGAATGAGTCTGCATTAATGACAGGCCATATTAATAATTTGAATACAATTGAAAATGAGTGTGTGGAATTTCTACTTCAAAGCTTAATAGATATGCATGAACAACTCATCATCAATATAAAAAATAGTACTATTGATAGATATTTACACTTTTAGGAGGTTGACGAAGCTTTTCTTAAAGAAAAATCTATTGAAAGAGTAAGGTGGAAAGTCCAAATCAAGTAGAGACTTTGAAGATGATGAGAGGTGGATCAATAGAATATGACTATAGTGGGAATTAAAATCATGGTAGATTAAATTCTTGAGAAAGAAATAATCTCATATGTTATCATTTATGACAAGAGAGAAAATATGAAGAAAGATTATAGGCTTAGCAAGAATAGAGGAAAGAACTTTGAAGCATCAACCTCACAAGGTTTTATTGTTGGTAGCTCGGAAGATGAAGGCGTTTTGGTTAGCAGCTCTAAAGGTGAAAAACAATTTCATGATGGATGGATAATGAATTCAAGTGCAACTTGACACATGACTTCACATCGAGATTAATTTTACACTTATTAACTCATATATATAAAGAGATCTGAGTTAAGGGAGACTGTTACACAATCAAGAATCTGATATGATTGTAATTATTGTCAAATATTGTAATTAGCTTAAATTGGGATACCTACTTAATATAGGAGAGATACTTGCCTAATTTCTAGAGATTTAGCTTATTTCTCTCCT